TTTAGTTGCTGGATCAGCCTAAAACCACAACTACTCAACTGCTATTTGGAGAATGTTACAAGCAACCCTTACTTTCACTGAAACCCACACGAAGTTTCTGCACAGGCTTCTTTTTTCCTCTGTAAGCATAAGTCATTTGTGCATCACAGCTGCTAACAGACTGGCAGCCAGGTAAGAAATCCTACTGTCCATAGAGCCCAGCACATCCAACGTTCCAGTCTGAAGGAGGACAATTTGTTTCACAACAGTTATAGCTCATCAGACCCTTCCTCAAATAAGGGGCACAGAGAATCACAAGCAAACCAAAATTAAGCTACTTACAGGTACTTGTACATCATCATAGAAACTCCACGCCAGTGCCCATCTCATGGTGCGTCCTTGACAGAACTCAGTATGAGTCACTTTAGGAACCTATGCAAAGAAGCAACACAAAATTTCATTTCATATTAATAAACTACATTGTTTTCCTGCACACGTCTTCAAATTTTAAAAAATTACAGAGTTAGTATAGATTTATTTTCTGATGACAGAAATGGAGATTCTTTCCATTCTTTCCAAGTGGCAGTGCCACTTGAAGCTGGTTAGTGCCATGCCTGGTACTGGTGCCCAGGATTTCCCATCTCTGCTCTGCCACATCTGTGCCCTTTCAGAGCTCCACGTTCAGCAGCACACAACGTGACCCTTTTGTACGGCGATCCAGCACACCCACAGCACTAATTTGCATTCAGATTCTGCAAAAAGCACATCCTTTCTCCCTGTTCAGAACCTGCTCCTGTTCCACATTAGGATACTGAAGCCATTGCGGTAGCAAAGGAACACAGAACAAAGGCAGCGAAGGGCTGGGAAGCCAAGCCACTCACTTGTGTGCAGATGGCAGAAATGTGCCCAGAAACACTTCTTTGCCCCCCAAAAATCGAGTCTGAACTTACACTGCCTTTAAATCTAAAACTCAGGTGTTAGTGTTTTCTAGACTTTCCACGCATAGATGCTGTAAGGCACTTATGTATGGTATGGAGAACGTGCTAAATACTAGCAAGGATAAATATCAAGCATCCTACCCGACTGTGAATTACCATCAACTCCAGAGCATAAGCCCCAGGTCTGCACAGAAGGCAAGGAGGTGGGGTGGAGAAATCTGTTACTTTTGAGAAATGTCTTCAAAAAGAGAGAGGAAAAGGTGTCTCTATCCTAGAATTTTTCCCACCTTTGGATCCCTAATTCTATCAAAATTTCCAGTAAATACAGCAAATGTCAAGACAGTCTGAACAATGAGTGGACTTTCTGGAACATTTATGCTGCATCCTAACCTGAACCTGCTATGTGCTTGGTTACGATCAACGTATTCCCAGCTCTGATACAACAAAGATTACAAACCTGAACAAAATGGAATTGGTAATATCAAGAAAAACACAGAAGGAAATCTCAGCTTTTCTATGCAAGTTCACAAGGTTTTACTAAGACTGATGTGCAACAGTTCAAGGACGGGGAAGAAAGTCAGATACTTGAAATCTGGTGCCCAGCCCAGCATCTGCTCTTGGCACTGAGTCTGCAGATTCCCTATGGCCTGTAGTTCATCTTTCTGGGAACTGATTTCACCACGTATTCTCTTTTCTTCCACTCTCCACCATGTACAAGGACAGATCTCACAATCATTTTCTTTGTATGGAAATTGGAGAAGACTACGCTTCCTCCAGAAAGCCATAAAAAAGTCCTTTGCACAGCCTTCTTGCACTAGAACGGCAGCACAAGGTTTAATTTTACTTGGTGCCAGAATTGAATAAAAACAAAACAATGCTGCTATTTAAGTAATGTTGCCATTTCTTTTATCAAACAAATTGCTAGATTTCATGTTATCTAAGAGGAAAGACAGGTACAATTTTTTTTTTCCCCTACAACAGCCCTGTTAAGGCTATTTTAGAGCAGAAACCCTATATGTTCTAGAACGGAAGAAGATATGCTTCTACATGTAATAAAAGACAAAAATCTGGAGATGATAGGTGCTACTTATCTATCAGCTTTGAATCTACAATAATTAAATCTCAACTGCTTTGAGTGCTTCCCTAACAAGGAATCACAGTTTATGACTGTAAATAAAAACTCAGAAAAATCATTCAATAATAATTACCCCCACGCATCGAAACACAGTACACATTGCATAGATCACACAGATGTGCTATATACGAACTCACCCCCTGGATTCGAAGTTCCTCTTTCAACGGTGCTAAACTGCATTTCTTCCCCAACATGCAACTGTACCATCTGCAAACACCACATTAACAAAGCATTTTACAAATACAAATCAACTGAAAACGGCAACTACCAGAAAAAAATACTTGAATCGGAAACCTGCAAGAACAATAGATTTAAAAACAAAACAACAACAAACTAATCACGCTCTTGAACAGAGACGAGGACATAGTACAACACCAATCTGAACAGAAGGCCCACAGACAGATCGGTTGAGTTTCTAGGAAATATGTTAAGATTATTATCGAAAGAACACCTAAACAACCAAGAATCTTGTTTCAAAGAGTGATTTTAGTTATGTGGAAGATGTTATCCCTTACAATAATTTGTTTTAATTTCTCCACTTTATTTGGAGAATGAATCAGAATAAAAAGGTATATTCAACTATTGACAAGCATTTGTGCCTCAGAAGCAGACCTACTGACTACCCCTTCTGCTCATTCGTAACTCGTTATCCAGGTTTCCATCACCTAACCCATATTTCATGAGGAAACAAACAGGGAAAAAAAAGGAAAGAAATATATTTTCCCACTTCTGGTGGAGCTTATCCTTCCATCCAGCTCCACATCTCCAATATCTCCAAACATTATACCTCTGTTCTTTGTCTAAATTACTATTCGAGCTCTACAGCCCTCTCTTCCATAGTTTTTGGTGACTAGATCCAAAAGGGTTATTCATAAATATAATGTACTGAAGTACAAAAATTAGAGTTCCCTGTTATCAAGGGACAGTTTCCTCAAGACATACTATGCATCTACATTGAAGATAAGCACTTTAAATTGCTCACATATACAAATTAAATATACTGTAAACTGTAAAAAAAAAAATAGTATCAGTGCTACTAAGGGACAAGTATTTAAATTGATTTCCTGTATAATGCAATATACAGAATTAATATATGCAGCAACACTTTAATTAAACTCCAAAGTTTCCTGCAAAACTAAAACACACATCTTTCCCAAAATTACAAAATACTGAACTTGCAACTCCTAGCTGAAGTAGGGATGAAGGGTAAATAAATCAAGATCATCTCCTGGCCCAGGGAAGCCTCTATTAGCAGTTCGTTCATTACTCACGCCCTTTGGTAGATTTGCCAAACCTTCTCTCTAACAAAACAGGAAACAGTACTTTAGGTAAACTGTTCTTTCTGTAACGGATTCTCCAAGGCAGTTTATCCAAAACTGCAAACTGAACCATTCCTATCCCTCGAACACAAGATTCTCCAAGGTAGTTTATCCAAAACCGCAAACTGAACCATTCCTATCCCTCGAACACACAGAGCTTATTTTTCCTAAATACAACAAACAGCTCGCACGTGGATACGTTCCATGCCTTACGCTATCCGCTTGTCGGACCAAGAGACACCCTCCTCTTTCCCAGAGCAGCGGTGTTGCCAAGAGCAGGAATAGAGGAACAATGCATTCCTCACAATTCCACATCACCTTTTCCAGGCAAAGACTTCCTGCCCTGAGAGTAACAGTCAGTCTCTACCACATTTGCCGCTCCTTTCAAGGTGGTCCAACAGCAGCTTCACCACAGGTGTTTCCCTAGGGTCTACAGGCACCATCCGGCACCCAACACGACGTTGCTACTGCATTTCCAGAAGTCTTCACGGATGCATCCCCTGCCCCCACCTCGCAGAACCAATTAAGTCCTCAACTGCGTACACGTGCTTTCCAGATGACAGCACTTCGCACAGCTCACCACGTGCTCCTGCGGAAACTACACTGGTGGAATAAAATCACGACATACCAGAAAGAATACGTACACAGGATAAACCCATCCAGCTGCAAGTGGAAGAGCATTTAAAACATATACGGATATACCATCACTTCCTCCCTGACCCGCCTCCCCTCAAGCATTGTATCACCGACTAAATTCAGAATAATTGTTTCAGCTCATATTTAGTTTTGAAAAATCACTAAATTTTAGACACACGTAAGAGCAAACACACCTAAAAGTCTGCAGCAACCAGCCTAAAATAACACTCTACCTACAAAGTTCGACAGGAAGACCAGTCGTTTTCCAGTGTCCTTGCTGGCACAAACAAGATCACTAAAACTTCTCAAAAGTTTAATTCTTCTGGCTTCTAACCACTTCTGAACATCAAAACCTCTATTTTATCACTCTGCCATACTACCCATCCCCTTTTTATAAGATTTGGTGGGTGACAGATAAAAGAAGAACATTAAAAAAAAAACCCAAACCACCATGTTTCAAGGTTTGGTGAACTGCAACCTACGCAAACCTCAACTTTTTTTTCTTCAAACCACTACAAGACAGAAGCACTTTTAACAGAGCCAAATGCAGTTTCACTTTGTCTTGTTTTTTCAAAAACTGAATATATTCTTCTTTTTTTTCAGGCCCATTATTAGAAAACAAACATTCTAAAGAAAAATTTTGGTATTACGTAGATGAAGATGAGATTCTAATGCAATGCTCTGCCTAGAAGGGTCTAAACAGAATGAAAACCACTTCTTGAATGTATAAAAGGCAGGCTGTACTTCCTTCACTTAGGCCACTAATGAAGGTGTGGTAACACACACATAAAATTTTGGCAGCTATATTTTAGAAGGATGTTAAAAAAACACCCTGAAGGAATCTTCCAGACAAGCCAGAGGAATAACGTGTAACACTGGGGAAGTGAAGGTCTGATAGTCAAAACACTGGAGATGTGCCAGCTGTTTGTCCTGTTCAACAGAAGGTCTCGCTATGGTTTCTACTGCAGCTGATGTTCACCCAAGACAGCACTCGGTACAACAGTGCCCTTTAGGAGGCAAAACTGCCAGTTACCAAAATTCCACCAGGAAAAGATAGAAACTTCTAGGTAACGAACAGATAGCTAGGCAATGTCATACACCCTCCCATCCCAGATGCCCTCACGAACCACCTCTGACTGCTGCTGCAGGCAAGGCTGTGTGCTAATTTAGCTGCAAGCCACAAGTGTCACTGGCACAGGCTTTTTTTGCCCTCCACCTTTAAACAGCTCAAACAACGAGTTGTAATTGATGCTTAGGAACAACTAATTTTACATAGCCTTTAAACAGCTCAAACGACGAGTTGCAATTGATGCTTAGGAACAACTAATTTTACATAAACTGAGACTAATTACTGATGGGTATGTACCATTAAACAACCAGACACCACTGGACCACAGCTACGTTCCGTACTTAAAATATCACTTTCACATGATTTCTGTGAAAGAAGCAGAAAACAAAGGTGTTTTTTTTTATTTAACTGGAACAAAGCACTTACCGTAACCTCTTTTTAAGTTGTAGACTATCATGAATAATTCTTTTGACAAATTCTAGTTCTCCCCCCTCAGCCATGATTTCTGTGATCCCTCCTGTATTTACAGAACTGGGAGGGGGACGCCGTGGATTTCGAGAATTCACTCCCTGGACAAAAAAGAACATTTGAGATGAGCATTTAATGAAAAGTTAGGCTGCTTTGTACACTGCTTCCGCCGCAATCTTCAGCGGGTAGCAAGTGTCACCACCTCTAGTTATCTTTCCCCCATCAGAATCATGGATAATAGACAAAGATATGTTCAAAATAAGCATAACTGAGTGAATTTCCTACAATCTCAAACCTAGGTAACAGTGTCCTGCTAATACAAAATATGTGGTTCCAACTCACGTAAGACATGCTGGTTACATGCATTACAATCTATAGTGTTTAATTTCAAGGCTTCAATCTTTTTTTCTACTGCCCTGTATTACAGAATTAAGTTTCTGACTATATTCAGTGAGTATTGCAAGAACTTGTTCTGAGCTGTAAGACATTGTCCAAACCACTAAGGAAATGAAAAACACAGACAGGCACGATGCCACAAACTAATTCCTCTGTACCACTGTTATGCAACGGGCACCTGATTTCAGATTTATTAGCTGTCTACTTGCCACACTAATTCTCTAAGACAGTAAGAACTTGTAAAAAAATTCTACATGTCATCCCCCACTTGAGGAAGGGTAACAGTTAAGTTTTTCAAAACTCCTTTTGGGCTGGGGAGGGAGAGGACTTAAATGCCATTTCATAATGATTGGGGATTTTCCACTCAACCTTTCCCAAGGGAAGAGGTTACATCGTAGCTATCCTCCCACTCACTCAACACCCAGGTACATGTAACATTTAGTTTGTTAACTTACTTTTGCTTCCAGCTGGTTGGCAAAAAAGGGGGGGTTGCACATGCAGAAATCGTAAACGATCTCGGATTCTTCTTTTAGTGCATCCATTAGAAGAGTCTTCTGTGGTACCTTAACCACTAACAGAAAACAAGAATTTGGTCAGTAAGGAACTTCATATTTTATCTAGCACACCATTTACATTCGGTGTTTCTTGAAACACTGTATTGTATAAAAACTGTACTTTCTGAAAAATACTTTCTCAAAAAAAAAAAATGTAACAAATATCAGCATGCAAATAAAGATTTCAGGTTAAGGAGAAGCACACAAACAGCTTGTGTGCTTATGCACAGTAGCAGAATCACATGAGTCTGGTTGAAACAATAGGAACTGCTCCAGTTATACCGAGTTCTCTGATGCAACTACAAATTCACTTTAAGCCTTTTCAAAAATGAACACGAGTGTCAGTTAATCACCCCACAGGCTCCTGAGAGATAAAAGAAATTCCAGTCTAACCAATTTTTTTAAAGACAGGAAAAACCTCTTGTTTTTGCTAGAGCGCAGAGGTAAGAAAGACAAAGCCAAAGCCATCTCCACTGCAGTCACACAGCACAAGATTAGCTCTAAATCTCATCTTACAACAAACCAGACCGGCCGCCTTAGCGACACCCCGCATCCTGCACGGGAACTGTAGTCTCATACGACTGAGACGAATCGCAATGGAAGGAAAAGATTAGACTTCCTTTCTGGACAAACCTTCTGCTTACTTGAGTCCGCTGACTTTTTATTACCCATCACAAGGATGAAGGCAACATCCCACATACATCTCCACTGTCTTTCCCCAAAGGCTACATAATTCCCTTGGAAATCGTGGTCAAGTCCTGTCATGCATCTTCTGAAGACCACAGGAACTCCAGCCCAAGGAGCAGGAATTTAAATACGGATGAAGTCCAGTTAAAGTATGTATAAAGATTATCACAAGCAGGACTTCTGGCAGCCTTTACCAGTCCTGAAACTCACGGATAATGCACACAGAATGAAGACTATTTCACAACAGAGGCAGAAGGCACACCTCTCTTCCTAACATTTACTACTACGGTTTATCATCATCCTAAGAACACAAAATCGTTAGGGTAGCAGGCAATTACCAAAGTTCACATTATCTACAGCAAGAGTAATACCTAGAACACCCACCGACTTTAAAGCTGCAGTTCTGTAAGGCACGAGCATTTCAGAGTACAGAAATTTATAGTCAAGAGGTAAACAAATTTTAAATCCTCTGAGAATAGGATAGTTCATTTTAAAAATACATTAACACATGGTTCCCTGTTTCACAATCTTAAATTTCTCAGTTAAACACTTAGCATTTCTCCTTATATTAAGTTGTTCACATTTAAAATTGTTGACATTAAAGTGTGACGCTTTCTTATCTCGACAGATATCAGTTCCCTTGCTTCCCTTATAACATTAAAAAATAGTAAACCAATAAAGTTAGTAATTACTAATTACAGATCACTAAATACAAATTACTAATTCCAATTACACAACGCAGTCAAACCCCGAAGTTCTTCAGCCAGGCACTGCCTCAGTTGGACCGACAGTTTTCACAGGACAGACCACACAGCATCTCCAGCCGCGGCGCAGTGCGCTGCTTTTGGCACTCAGGTGCAACCCAGCAGCTGCTGCTGCACACAGAGGAGATACTCACTCACGTGTCTGGAATATCCAGCCCACGGTTATCGGAGTATTTCACTGTCTTTCTTGTTAGCAATATTCTTTTCAATGTTATGGAGGAGGCAAAAGTAAAAGAAGGAAAAAAGAAAAACGAAAAATCACGGAGTTTGTTTTCACAGTAGAGAAAGCAGACAGCAGGGCTGAGACAAGCAGAGCTCTGCGGAAAAAACACGTTAATCTGAGCAGCAACACGTGGTCCGTTGTACCTACTTTCTAACATTACTGCAAAGTTACTCAGAAGATGACATCAAAGAACTCGTTAAACCATACTCCACCTACATAGCTAGATATTTAATTGACAGTATGTGATTTTATTTGGAAATAAGAAAGCAAATAAAACAATCAAGAAGTAAACAATGTAGTAATCATGTCACAAGGCAATCTTAAGTTACTTTGCAAGTAGTTTGAAAACTTCCAGAGTCCAAGCTGTTGAAAATCTCTTAACCTACCATTACATACAGGGTACTGATTGATTTATTTATTTATTCATTAAATACCAGCAGACAAATTCTGGCCATCATCCCATTCCAGTAAAACAGAAGCACAACTCAGATGTACAACTCAGTACACCATGTAATTTCTTTTAGCATTTACCATCAATCTCCAGGTTTATCAGTTTACACATATAGAAGATTCCCTTTGGAAGAAAGTTACTGCAAACAGTATTTCACTTTCAGTTAAAAAACGTTAGTTTTCTTTCCTCTGAGAAGAAAGATGCTATGACGCAATTAGTAAACCATCACAGCATTACTGCTGTTTTTACTATCACTGAATTATTTTTATTCACTGAAGCTAGAACAACAAATGAAACTATTTGGCAAAAATTCCAAGACAGACTCTCAGAACACGACAAAAATTGTGGTTTTTTTTTTTTTAAAAAAAAAACCACAGAGGTATAGAATAATTTCTAATATGACTCCAAAATGCTTTGCCAAACAAGTTACTAGCTACAGCAGTATGCTCAGCTCTAGCTGAACAATTCAGGTCCAGGAACTAAAAAGTGGTAAAGTGGATGATTCCCAGGCAGTGTCTGGCTATGGGTACCACCAGTGGTCCCTTGCCCGTGGCTCTGCCCAACAGCAGTCAGTCATTTACTCCAGCTTACCATCTCTGGCACAACAGCTTCACATGAGGCATTTTTCTTTGCCAGAGGTCTTTCCAGTTTAGTGAAACATCACCAGACCACTAAAAATCCTATGATGGCAGCAGTAACAGTAAACTTTCATTGTTGTCCACATCAAGTCCTGGATCTTCAAGACTGACACAGAGGACAGACCAAGATAACAATATTTTGGTAAAAAGGATGCTACCAATTCCAGCAGAACTCAAGTTTCTCTTTCAGAGCTGAATAACGGGCCTGCTTTTTAGTATACTGAGTTCCTACAGAAAATTTCCCAAGCTCATCCACAGACCAAGTCTGGGATACTGCTACTACCACCACAGGTGTGGTTAGGACCTCATTCAGAAACCAGGAGGAAGGACTCTCTCTGCACAAGATGCCTATGTGTGGCAGCATGATGAGAATTACTGAGGGGTGCACTCCACGTCTCCTTGCAGCAGCAACAGAACGAACTCTAAGAAATACTTCAGTAAAAGACAAAGAAGACAGAGAGGGGAAAGCACCCCAGGGTGAAGTTTAACTTTCAGATTTTCATAAGGAAAAATAGTTCCCTATCCACACATTCCATTCCAGACAAGCTGCGAGTTTCTGGCTTAAGCACACATGGACCTTAATAAACATTCTGCTTCAGTAAAAACAACTGAGCGTGTATTCGGCAGGAACACGGATTCTGGTACACCACTGAACAAGGCCAAAATAGGTCACAAAGTTTGTATGCTACTAAATACCTTATTCCACCGTACCTTTTATAAGATCAGACAAGTTATTCTGTTCCACATTCTTCTTGGCATAATTGAAGCACATATCATCCACTTCTGTGGCAAGAAAATACCAGCCATTCAAAGTTGCCCCAAGTAACGGGTATATGCAAGATGCTCCTGTCCCTGCAGAAAGAAAAAGCCAGGAGAAAGGCAAAATAAGTCTCTGGTGTTACACACAGCACGGCTGTTAACTACGTACTTTTTACAACAAGAACTAATTTCAAGAAAACGTTGATTACTGATTATCTACTACTCTAAAGTTCTTTAGTGAACTTTATCTTCTTCATTTGAAGTACAACATTGACAAAGATGCACTTTTAATAAAACCAAGAATTTCATAATCCAGAATAAATTTTCTAGTAAATGATCATCTTCTTTTTAAGCTACGCTTTTTCTACGTGACAGTGATTAATCTACATAGTGAAAGTCAAATATATTCTGTTTTTACCAAAAAAACCTATCACATATAACTCTCTTCTGCATTTTTCTGTTATCTACCCCAAATAATTTACTTTGATGCACAGAGTAATCACAAAAAAAAAATCCTGTTCCATCAGACTGTTTCTCCCTAATGTCTTAAAACAATCAAAGAAACAGGGGTGCCAATTAAGATATCTAAAAAGATAGCCAGAAAGATAAAAACTTGGTAACAAAGGAAACACATGCTAGCACAACATTATTCTTTCTCATAGTTACGGCACATCTAGGTGATCCAATTAACAATGACAGTCAAATTTAGGATTAAAGTAAAAGTGAATGGATAAAAGAAAAGGGAAAAACTTCTCACCACCACAAAACTTGAGTTCAGAGACATATTGACAGTCTACTGCTACACTGACTTACCGAAACACAAACAACCTCTGTCAGCAAGCAAAAGCATGCAGTTATTTCCAGCGCTCCTTTACTGCCCCTCTTGGATAACTTCCTGCCTTCTCAGAGCTGGAACATCAAAGCTCACTGCAAACTCACGCTGAAGGTTTTAAAACAGCTGGAGACCTTAAAGGATCTGTTGTTTCTGCTTACCCAAACACCACGAAGAAGTTCATGGAAATTGTTTTCAAAAACGCTAATATCAAATGCGCAGAAGCTGGCTAACGAGTCTCAAAGTTAGGAAAAGAGGACAGCTGTGCACGCACCGCAGGACAACATAAACCCTGTATCCATCACAAATCCAGCTAAGAATGCAAGTCAGTAAACTTCAGGAATTTAAAAATTCCATTAAAAACCAAAACCATGCTATCAAACACCAAGAAAACAGTGATGAAAAAAACTGGCACGGTAGCTAAAATTACTGAACTCAGGCTTTGAGGAAGTCAGTAACTTTGGCATTTTAACATCAAGCATTAAAACTTCAGTTAAAAAGGAAATTCCAGGTTCTCTCGGCAGAAAACAACAAGTCTTAGAAATCATAAAGGAAGATTCTATTGACAAATATAAAAGACATGAACTAAATTCAAATGTACCATCACAGGTGCCTTCTAAATAATTCATGCAGAATCACCAACAATTTACAGTCCAAATGCCAATTTTATTATCTGTACGTGGAATACAGCTCCATGCTCCTACAGAGACTGCCTTTTTTTATTTCTAATGAAAATAAAATCATGTGCATCAGTGCACATTTGGTAAATTCATATCCCTACTGAACAACTGTTTACGTTAATCTAATCCAGATACCATCTAAATATTGTCTAATAATCCAGATATTGCAATTGAACAAGCTGCAATGCTCTTAGACAGGTGACATCCATCTGCTTAGTGGATGTCCATAGTCCAGTTTAAAAAATATTTAGTTTTCAACAACATACGGGAAATCTTTACAACCAAAAGGCAGCTTTGGTAGTATTTGCCTTGGTTCCCAATTAAGTCTCTTTTACAATTTAGCTCATGAAAATATCCGCATTGAAAAAAAAACAAAAATCAAAGCTTAAAAAAAGACAGATCATTCATCTCTCAAATACACCCAAGACCTCAGAAATTTTATTACTAAAAGGAACACTAGAAAATACTGCTACGCAAGTCACAAACTCTCTTGTGGAGTCATCCAAAAGCAAAATTAGTAATTACTAATGTAATATAACTAATTGATGACTGAGCAGAACTGCCAAAGTTTTTTTTAAATTCCTTTAGAATGACGCTGTTGCCCGCATTACCAGCAGCACAATTTTTGTACAGCTCAACCCAGTTCAAGGCCGCAAAAAGGCGAAAGTCTCCCTGCCACGGCCGTCCCGGTGCTGGTGCCGAGCAATCCCACCCACCGCGCAGCAGGCGACACGCTGGTGCAGCCGGACTGCAAGTTTCACCGTGGCAAGCACGGTGCTGACTTTCGTGTTTCTCAAATGTCGCGTTTCCCTACGGACACATGTAGCGAAACGTCCATGGCCAGTTCCACTGGCAGGAAATAAGGAAAGGAAGGGCTTCCCCTTCCCAGTACCTATGTCGATGCCGCGCCTGAGGACGCGCTTGGCAGCACCCTGGTGGCCGATGAGATCCTCCACCCAGTGGATGTAGTTGAGCCTCAAGGGAACGGTAGGGATCAGCCTCTCCACGGGGATGTCAATCGTAAGCCCAAAATCCTCCTTCAGGAGGGTACAGGTCAGAGCTCTCACCGCCTCGGGGTCCTTGAAATTCAGGCTGAAAGGTAGGAGCAGCGGTTACGGGTGCCGCAAGTGCAGAGGGTGCTGTGAGTGCAGCGGGTGC